TCAACACCACATAGAAGGGTTTCACTGTAAACATGGAAGAAGTCTGGAGAAAATTGGGATGGGCATTAGATATGGAAATACTAGATTGCAGGAAAGTGTTGGCTATCAATAAATAATCAGACACTATTGAGCAGTGAAGTATTGTAAGTTACAGTAATATTGGTTTCTGATCAGTGAGTACTGACTGATTGTACCTAATAAGAACCTGATCTTGGTTGTCCAACTCAGTCGTCTTCATTGTGTGAACTCCAATAATATCAGTCTATTATTAACTAAAACAATAAGCTGACATGTTTTTGGTTATTTAGTATTTGTCTAAAGCTCAACATTAAATAAAGGTGATCACTTCTGGACTGAAAAGTAAAAAAAAAAGGTCTAAATAACAACTGTAAGATCAGTCCTGTCCTTTTTTATAACAGCTTTTTAATTATTATCAATAATTAATTGCAACTTTTGAGAAGTCAGACCCAGTACTTTGAATACTACTTTTCTGGTCAAATATAGGGAGCGAATCACAAAGTCATGGCACTGGTTGCGGCAACTTGTCCCAAACTGTGATCCATATGCAGACATTAGGCCACTGTATTTGAGATGTGTGTTGCATATTTTCACCACTGCTGGAATTACCATGGTCCCCTCTTACAACAGATCAACAAGGTATGCACAGTTGTATGAATGTTATGGTATGACCAAGTAAAAAGAAAGTTACATTTGGTTATTAGTTAAACAGGTTACATTCAGAAGTCTTAAAATAATCAATGTATTCTCTCAGAGGAGACAAACCCCCAAGAGGAAGGACTGAAAAAACGGAGAAGGAACAAGGATGGCCAAGTTTTAATAGAAGAACAAACCTAAATTTGACCTACACAATACTACCCAGCAGCATGAAATATGAATTTTTTTTTATCTTATTTTGAGGAAATTAAAAAGGTCTTTAGCCATGGTGTCTCTCACTGCTATATTTCATCAAGAAATATAGCAGTGAGAGCTTCCCTTCAAGCCTTCTTTTGACATTTTTTTGACATTCTGACATGGGCTGTACTTTTTCTTGCAAGTTCAATTTATGCTCTCCAGCTCGATGAAAAAGAAAAGGCTGCGACAAAAAGAATACATTATCATCTATATTGGAAAACACCACTTGGGTGCAGAATGTCATGTAAAATTTGGCCCAATATTTAGCGTTACATGTCCACTGTTCATTGCAACAGTTGTGTTTTATAATGATAAGAGAACAACCAAGGAAGCCTATTCATATAATTTTACTTTTGAACTTGATTCACATTGTTGCTCTAGATACATCAACAGTCATGGTGTTTGCTTTGAAACGGGATTTCTCGTCACTGAATAAAGTCACCATTTCCCTTGAGGACATGGAGAAGAAAGTTATGGAAGTTCTTACAAATGAAAAAAAAGCATTTGAAAGTTGTGACGATCGCTCGCGCATGTTATCAAATACCATCATACGACTGTAACTATTCGTGGTATGTATCGCCTCTGTCATAGGATAATTATGACTGTGTGTATCGGTTGTTGATCTATTGCATTAAAGGCAGCTCTTTGGTTTCTGCTAGATATAATGTAGTTGTCTGTTGCCGTTCAGCGCTCGTTACAGAAGTAGGGAAGAGCATTTAAATTTCCAGAGTAAATGTCCGCTGTTCTCACTTGCTTTTGAAAAGTCTTAACATTTACAGGAATCCATTTTTATTTACGTGGTGTAACAAAACCAAACACACAACTAAGTGGCAGCTTGAAGTATTGTAACGAAATGTTTTGTGAACAAAATAGTGGGGAAATCAAAAGAGCAGGCCGAGAAATAACTACAAATTAATAAGGTTCAACAGTGTGGTGTTAAAATTGCTTTTATTACAGTTCAAGTAATTTTTTAATTCCTAGTTACTTATCCCGCAAGAACTTTTAGGAAATAAAATTTATGTTTTATATTTCTACCTCGTTGAGTTTGTAACTTTTAGACCCTACAGCTTAATGAATAAAGACGTACATGCATGCTTTTCAAACCTCTAAATAGATCTGACTGACTTTTATGTTAGCCGTCTTATGATAAAATACGCACTTGTAATAAATAAAACTTTATTGAATAGAAGGGATGAAAATCATTACATTTCAGAAATACTTCTGAAGTATTTGTGGTGGGATGTGTGGGGGGAAAAGGTGAGGTCGTTACATGAACTTACGCGGCTGCCAGAGGCGCCTGATAATGGCTGACGTCCGATCTCAACCTTAGTAACACTATAGACCTTAGCAATTCAGCCTATGCTGCTATTAAGGTGGCTCGTACTAGTTTCCTCGCACGGGGAACAGATAACTCTTGGGTCACCCGCGGGAGAAACGTGCGAAAGAAGCGCGAGATTAACAGACGAAAATTTAAAACAAAGATGGCGGCGCGAGGAATCTTTTTCTGCTTACGTGAGAAGTTTACCTAAGAGCTTGTAATTGATGTGTTGAGCGGCCACTGTAAATGCAGGAGATAGAAACTAAGATAAAGAAGACGATTTTCGGAGAAGTAAAGGTTGCTTCACTTCGCATTTAAAGGAAATATTCAACCTATATGAAGTCTTGCGATGGCGAAAAAAGAAGAACTCAGGTGAAGGATAATCTACCTGAAGTGAAAGAAGACTTTGAAACTTAAAGGAAAATGATATGATATAGCCAGAAGTTGTGTGTAGGATTTTTAAGATGAGCCCGGGAGGCTGTCTTTGACAGCTGTTTAATGATTTTCTTAGCAGTAAACGTCTGTAAACACTAGATCGTAGGCGCGCGCGCGAGCACAAGCAGTTGTCAGCGGTAGCTATAACAGATCGTGAGCAAATGTCGATCTTATAGAATCCAAATTTTTAAATGCGCGAGAATGCGCGTGGAAATTGCTAATCTCACGAAAGCTATTGCATGAAAACAAGTCCGGTGACCACTTCTTTTTATTGTTCCAATATCATAACAACGTCGAAAGGAATCCTCAGAAAAAAAACTAGAAAATTCTACGGAAGGAAATTTGCGATGCCTGAAAATTGCCTTTTTTCTAGATTTTCTGAAATTCCGCTCCGTAGAATTTTTTAAAAATCTTTCTGCATTTTCCTTTTCGAGTGTCAAAAGCAATCACTGAAAAAAATCATTGGGTCACCGTGTTAGTTTTCGAATTATCTAAGCCACAAGCTAAAAAATGCGTCTGAATAAGCCTATGAAAGCGTTGCCATGGAAACTGCTAGTGACGAAATGACACCTATTTTTGAATAACCAATGATTATATAAATCAACCCCGTAAAATTGTTCAACTGGCCTTGCTCAGTCTTTCTGTTGTATTCTTTTAAAGTTACAAACCATCAAAAAGACGAAAACCGGTACGAGCCACCTTACGAAGGCTCCAAAGGGTTTTTCACAATTGACAGCAACTGCCAATCAGTAAAAGATATCAGGACTGTCAAACTTATCATCAGGATAATGACTTGACATATGCATAACACTATGTTAGGGCAATCTTTTAAGGGGGCTCGTCAGGCATTATCTGTTGCCATGGCAACAGTACAGTAGTGCTAAAAGACCCTCAGTTTTTGAAAACTCAGTTTTTGAAAGATATCTCAAAAACCAAGTCGGTGACCTAGTTTTTT